ATACAGAGATACAATAGTGAAAATAACAGATAAAATATAGTTTGTTTTTTTCAAAAAAAAATTTTGATAATTATCTGGAGAATATTAGGAGGTTATAGAGATTTCACAAGTGAAATTTGATAGTTTTCTGATGCATAAAAGTATTTGTAATCTTAAAATCAAAATGACTTCATATGTTGGATAGTCAACATTCGAAAATAAAAATGCATGAGCAAATAATTAATTAAATCATGTTAAAACTTAATTGTTTGTTTGTTTGGATTAAGCACAAAGCTACACAATGGGCTATCTGTGCTCTTCCCACCACGGGTATGGAAACCCAGTTTCTAGTCTGCATGGCCACTGGAGGGCAAAACTTAATTTAAAAATCTGTTACTTAGACAAAGTTTCAAATATTTAGATCATCTGTGGTTACAAATAGATGTATGTATACGTTGTTGACATATAGTCATATGTGAGAAACATTTTCATTGTATTGGTTAAATCATATTTCAGTTTTTGGATGGTTTAACCCTTCTATTATGGGTGGGTGGATTCCACCCAGTCCGTATTACCAAAAGTAACCATAAAGCAGCTGTACTGTAATTTTTTAAAATGTATGCGTATCTTTAAAAGGCATAGTGAAAACAATTGTGCTTTACTAACCCCTAGGCCTTTTATAAGGAGGGCATTTTCCCTCCATATTCAAAAAAATAGCATTCTTTCTTTTCTCCTCAAGAGCTGCATTTGAGAACTGTGGGTTTGCTGTTGTGCGTCTCTTCCTTTCAAGTTTTTTGTTCTGAAGTTCAGACAAGGTATCTTTGGTCACTAGTCCAAGAGCAGCCATAAAGTTAGACTTCTGAAATGATTAAAGAAATAATTCAAGTATTTATGACAAAATGTTTTATTTGGTCAGTAAAAACTGAAAGTTAGCTTAATTTGTAGAATAACAAAATTACTTCAAATTTTTCAAAGTCTCTCTTTCTTAGCATGTCCACATGATCCTAAAAATTGTTTTTCCTTTCTAGTTTTGTATATAGCTATAACAAATCAAGTAGTTTTTCTATGTATATGAAAAAACATATAAGCATTTCTTTTTTAGTATTTTTTTTAACTGCAATAAGTCTTATATATGTTTGCATATTTTGTGTTGGATGATGAGAGTAAGAAACAAGAAATTTTGTATACCTTTATTAATAAATCCAAAGACTAATGTAGAGTAAAATAATAAAATTACTTGATTTGTTTAAAAAACAGACAACTCAAAATGCACATTCATAAAACTAACTATATACAGCATATTTCCAAAATACAAAATTTTAAACAGTGTACTAAAATTTTAAGTGTGATCTTTTACACAATATAATAAACCAAAGAACAAAAAAATAAGGTTACAAGTTTCTGTATCTGTGAAATGTTTATGAGGACACTTTATATTTCCCTGAGATAGTCTTTTGTCTATTATGAATAAATTCTGTTAGTTCCAGTTTCACGACAACATAATAAAGATTTATTGCATTCTTTGAGCAACTATAAATATTGTCAATCGGTTGTATTTAAAACCAAAACCAGCTATGAAGTACATGTTTATTTATTCAATGTTAAGCTTCAGCTAATGATATTAGATGCCTTTGAATAACATTAAAAGCTGAAACATTCTTCACTAGTATATTTATTCTAAAATCTTACATTTATGCAAAAAAACAATACTAATGTGACTGAAAAGAATATCTCTTCATTTATCAAAATGAAATAAGTAATTTTAGTCATGAGTAAAATGACAACATATAAAATATTTTAAAGAAATGTGAGTTAAATACAAATATGCAAGATTAGGTATGTGATTAATTAACTAAAAATAAACACTAATAGAAACATGGACAAGTAAGTCTGAAGGACAGTGTGCAAAATAGAGAAACCACCCTGTGGAAAATAAACCAAGTGAGTGTTGTGAGTGATGAAATATCAGGATATGCAACTAAGCATTCGCAACATTCTTCTTTGTCATAGATAAACCTGGAGAAAAAGCACACCTAAGGGTGAGAAACACTCTGGTGGTAAAATGGGCAGATTGAAAATTAGAATGAGACAGGACAAACCTAGTTCAGGCTGGAAGAAAAGCCTGGAGAAAGATGATGAACAGGTGCAATAGCCTGTAGAGACAGAAAATCTTGCACTGTGTCGGACAAGTGAAGGCTGGTGGCAGGATCCCAAGTCATGGGGAAAGAAAAGGGTGCAAAGGACAAAAGGAGGTCGGGAAAGAAACAGTAGGACAAGTCCCTCTGATAAAACTTGAATAACCCATGGAACTGTAGTGAAAGAGCAACAATATAAAAAAAAATCGAGCTCCCACTGGACCAGACCCCTTTTGTTTGTCTCCAGTACTGTTGACAACATCTCTGAATAAAACAACGAGATGAGAAACCCCTGGAATGGAGACAGGGATGAGTCCAAAGTCTCATATACATGATTGAAAACATATCACACAGAAAATACAGAACTCCCGAAAAGAAAGAGGTGGTAAACATACCCGGGACAAAGTCACATCATGACCCAGAAAATCCCAACTACAGTGAAACCACATGTGTAAAGTGAGAACCAAAGACAACAAGTGAGTCAACATGGAGGTAATGAGAAATTGGATAAAACCTAACATACCTGAGAAATCATGTTGAAAAATACTATATTAGTCCTAGCTATTTCTGTAGGAGGGGTAGGGAAAAACACTGCAAAATTTAGTGATGCAAAAAGGCTATCAAATCTTCATTGGTCTGAACAGGTTTGGCTTGTTAAAGAATATTAGTGTGGCAAGTTCAGAAGAAGAAGATATACCCACATAACAATCAATCTCATGATGGATAATAGCAGAGAAATCCAACAATGGATTTCCCCCACCTGTAGCCTGTGAAAATAGTGCTAGAGGTATAACACCTAAAGTGGGAAGATGAACCTCAGAATTCATGGTTGAAATAAGTAAACCAAGCAAAAGTCTTGAATGTTAAATATGTAAGTTAAATTAAAAGATTTCTTAAATGTAAAGAAAAAATAATAATGAATAAATCCCACTTTGGAAATTAAACTATTAAAATCATGATTCACATAAAGAGCACCAAAAGAAAAAACGTTTGAACACGAGTACTGCCAAATGAGAAATGATAGTTTGGTAGAACTGAATAGAGGGAGTCACATGCATCATGAGAGTATCTCGCACTCATATTTGTGAAGAGTTGACACATAATGATTTGCATGTGAGACACATTGGAATCAGTCAATTCCAATGGAGGGGAAATAAAATGCTTGTGGCATGTGTAAAAGTTTTTATTGCATATAGAGGGCAGCACTGAACAGGAATAGCTATTTATGTGAGGGGAGGTAATGTACCATACCAAAACTTGAAGTTTCTTTAACAGATTTTTTGAATGTATTTAAAGCAAGTATTTATGACAAAATTTTAATTTGAGTAGTAAAAACTGTCCTTCTTTAAAATTCCTATAAAGCATTTTAATTAATTACATACAAAAGTAAAAAACAACATACATATACCTTTTGTTGTTCTTTCGGGGTTGTTTTTGGCACAGGGGCAACAATTTTTACTTGTGAAACAGAGCTAGCAGGTTTCAAAGTGGTAAGTGGTTGGCTTGTTGAAATTATCACAGGCTTTGACTTTCCTTGTATGACATTATTATTAGATAGAGATATTGTCTGATTATTTACCACCTAAGAACAAACAAACACAAAAATTTTCAAGTTATGTACATTTTAAACATACGTATAGTGTTAACAAAGTTAGATCTTATACTTTTGTGATGTGGTTTTAACAAACTACCATGAAAATGCTTAATTATATGCATACCAATTTATTACAGAATTAATACAACTTGTCACTAGCAGATGTAAGTGCTATCAGCGATGCAAATGTCTTAAGTCTTTCTACAATGTACTTCAAAACCATTGTTTATTGGGCATCAAAATAAAACATCATTTGTTAAAAAACTACTTTCTAATCATGAATCAAGAAATGGAGAATAATAAATTTACAGAATTTTCCTTAACTGAATAAAGTTGTTTTTTTTTTCTATATTCTATTTATTGGGAATAATCAGAATTTGATTGGGAAAAGACATGATGGTAAAAATAAATGAAAGACATTGTATAGTAATTTTTCTACAATGACAACATGCAGTATTTATTGTGATATTAAAATATGAGCTTACAACAAAGCTTATTCACAAAAAAATCAGTATGTATTGCGTACTCTACTTTTGAGCAATAAAAGAGGATACAAACAATCCATAAGGCAGTACATCTCAGTTGGTAGAGCAGACAGTGAATTTTTAATATAAAGGTCTCTGCTCTACCAACTGAGATGTACTGCCATGTAGTGTACAATAATTCTGAATCAAGTCTTTTGGATGAAAATTTACTATGAAAAATAAAACAAAAAGTTTCTTCACTGATGATTTATTATTGTATTTAGCAAAAAATGGTGTAACAATATCAGTTAAGAACTTACCACAGGTACTGTAACTTTATTTAATGGAGGTGGATACTGTGGGATTCTAATTGGTGAAGAAAGGTTAAGAACAATGCGAGGACTTTCTCCACTATGAGAGGAGATTGATGGTACCACTAGAAGTGGTTGGGATTTCTGCTGTTCAGCAGAATGGTCAGTGGTTGACTTGTTTGGAAGAATTACTGCTGTGCCTAGTTGAGTTTTTAGAGTTAAGTTGGTTCCAGGTGCCACCAAGTTGTTGACAAGAGTGGACATCACATGTTTCTCAGCTTGTTGAGGAAGTAAATGTAGAAATGAACTTGATTTACTTGTAGGCTTTTTACCATGAAATTGAATCTGCAAACAAGGAAATATTATTTCTAGAGTTAACCTAAAATCAAATTCTGAAAACAACTTCTAGCATTTTATAAACAAAGTAATGTTATTGAAACAATAACAGTACATTTACAAAAGTTTTTCATTTGTTTATAGTCTTGTAAACTAATCTGGATTACATTATATGTATTTTGCAGACTAGAAGATATTTGGGCTAGTGGCCAAATTTACATGTAAACAAATACAGTTAGAAACTTTCTTGGTTTCAAAATAAAAATCTTTTTTTATTTCATACCAATCTAAAATTTCAAATACATTCAATAAGTTTCAATGCTTCAACACTTGTCTCTTTACACATATTAATTTTTCAATCCAACTTTTGTAAATAATAAATTACTTACATGTACGAATAATTATTGTTAGAATTTACTTCTAATTATCTACATACATACTAAGGTAAATTTTATACATATGTCACAAACTTTTTTCCACCTTTCCTTTGAAAACATCTCACCAATATTTACGAAGCTGCTGCCACTTAAATTAAAACAGCAATGCAAAAAATCATTCATAGCATGTCTATTTCTGTATATTTTAATATTTTGCAATAAAATAATCTTAATATTTAAGCTTACTATTAAATTCATGTATCTTGTGCGTGAAAATATTAAGAGCTTATAAAATTGCTAGCTACTAATAATACACATCAGAATTATAAAATAAAATAAAAATCACGCAAAAGTTTCTTCAACAAATCAGCAAGCAAACAAAAGAAATGACAAGCGGATCATGATCCACAGTCTATTTCACAGCATGGGATTTGAACATAAGTTCACAACTTCTCTCAAATTTGTTAGTTTCAAACTGCTGAAGCTCCTTTCACAAGCCTAGTTAATTAGCTTAGCTGCTGGTTCATCAAATGTACCTATATGTATTTAGATAATTATTATTGAATAAACTTGTGTTTGAAATTCAAACAAAACTTTTACAAGAGATGTACTGAAAAGTTACATTTCTTCATTTATCACTAGAAAATGATGTAACTTCAACAGTACAATAGTAAAATCATATTATGTTTCTTAATATCTTTTTTTTACTGATTAATAAGATTTCTTTAATTGAAATGTTAAAACATTATTACATATATGTAAGTATAAACGTAACATTATAAGCATGAAAATTCATCAACTAATCATGTAAATGTACATAAGTTTGATAAAATTTGTAAGAAACAAAATATAATAGCACCTATTACACATCATACACACCTTAGTAAAGGGTGTAATATTAACTTTTTTTTTTTCTATCTGGTGAACATCACTTATCTATAGTTAAATTCAGCATTAAAATGGAAATGAACAAGGTATCATTAACAAATGGATATTAAAAACTGCCATTAAAGTTTTTTAAATATTTCAGTTTTAGCAAATAACACTTGTTATGGGAAAAATCAGACTTTTTAAGCAGTGTTCCCCAATAATTGGCTCACACTATGATCGGATGTTGCAAAAGTCTGCAAAACTGTATTTGGGAAAGATGCATTCCCCCACAAGCCCCAGTCCAGCCCTTTGGTTTATGGGCAAAATATACCTTTATATTAACATGTAAAAGTAACTTGTACCAGTTTACTTTTTTCCCTTACTCAATAAATACATTGAAGCTATAGAGTAAACACATTAATTTTATGAATTTTAAAAGTATCTTTATAATAATGAGTACATCATGAATGTCTTGTAAAACCATGTAATTCTGGAAGCTAAAAACACAATTCTGAAATGGTAACAACTTGAACAAATTTATCTGGGCAACAAAACTTACCAAAGCGATCACCACCAACAATTAGTTTTAATATGTTACAACAAAGAAGCAGGTATAATAGTTTTAAAATTCATTTCTCTTTGACCTATATACTACAGTATGTCAGATTACAAAAGTGTACAAACAAATACACATAATTACATAAATAAAAATTAATAATATCAATATGTAAGCAAAAAAATTCATTGTGTATGTTACTTTAAATTAACTTTATCATATTAATTCACTCAATATTTTGTAATTTATAAAGCAAAGGTAAATTAATGAAGATGAGTTTCATAGTTAGTAAGGAAATGTTTTTGAATACATGAATCAGACAAATTAAAATATATTAACATTTTCCTAAACTGAAAATGCATTTCCAATAATACTTACCTCCACTGACACTACAGCTATTTCTCGATCTCAGGCTTTCCACTCTTTGCCCATCTAAACATTGAAAACACTTGCTCCAATCTTTTATACCCCACTCGAATGCCCTTGGCAAATTCTAATTTGCAAAAGTCTCCACCAGTTTCAATGCACCCTCTATCTAGGTACTGTATATAAGCACCTCATTCAGATAATGTAATAATTTTTTCAAAACATAAACCAACTTGTAGTGGAGAGGTAGGGCAGGAGAGTGTCAGCGGAGGTAAGTATTATTGGAAATACATTTTCAGTTTACGAAAATGTTAGCTTCCAAAACACACATACCTCTGCTGACACTATAGCTAGAATCCCACATTGATAAGGTGGAGTGGCCAGTGCAGGCATGAACCATACAGAAAGTGTCTGTATAGAACAGAAGTGTACCAAGATAAAAGATGGTACAGGGGAACCACACTACATCCAGAACAGGTATGCTCTTCACCTGGAACTCGGTTCCTATATGAAAGATGGAATAGAATATGAGTAATTGTCAGTATAGGCCAGCCCCAACCAGATAGCCAAGATTCCACAACTCAGGGTTGGAATTAATGGGTCATAGTACCTATATCCTACGTTGGTGGCAATGTTATATATATATATATATATACTTTTGATTGGATCCCAACCTGTAGCCATAGAGTGATGCATTTCACACCACCGGAATCAAGACAAAAAGTAAGCAACAGCAAAGTGGACAAACTTTCACCTCCACCTGAAGAAGCCCAAAAGGCACCACCACGGGCTCGGAATGACGGGATCATGTATGCCATACTCAACCAAAGTAACAAAACTCATCCGGTCCAGAATTATGAACATTCATCCTCACTCCCCAATCAAGTTTTCAGAATTATGAGGAGATAGTGCACCTCCTTTCATGAACAATATACGAAACTGACATAGATCAAAGAGAAGGGCTATGCACCCCCCAAACTGGATAGTTTTGTGTCAAACCTGAACCGGAATCACTGATATCTGGGAAAAACATCCAGGGATCCGAGTAGGAGGACCCCAACTTTGCCCCCTTCTCCAAGAGTGGAAGAACACACTCAAACACTATGGAGGAAAAGCCTCTATCTGCCACCCCAGCAACTGGAAACTGGGAGTGTAAGGACTCCTGAGATCCAGTAATAGAGTCTAGGGGGGTTAATATGCATTGGGGAGTTCCTGAGGAACAGTGCTCTGGAAACTGTGCAATAAGTGAATCAAGTTCCCTACATTTTTAAATGCAAACTGACCCCCCTGAATATTGGCAGGAATGGACAGGATCCCCTTTAGCTTTACTCATGATAGTCCATGAGTGGCAGTCCATAATAATAAGGCAATACCATCCAGTCTTATGGAACATCCCATTTTAACAGAGCCTGTTGCAGCCTGTAGTAATTATAGTGAAAGTATTTGTTAGTGCGGAATTGAAGAGAGAAAGCATAACTGCCTGGACAACATTCCAAAGAGTGGGATCCAGTGAAAAATAAAGGGACTATGGAAATAAAAGAGTATATGATTGAGTAAAATATTAATATCTAGTTAAAATTTAACAGATGTGGTCAAAATAACTATAGGTAGTAGTTGAAAACCCTCAGAAGAGGAAACTGCCAGATCATGTAAGTAGTGAGTATTAGGAGTAGTCTACAAACCAGCCCACACAATATCTTCCAGAGGGCAGTTCAACCTGGCAGCTAATGACACAAACATATGATGAATCTGGTGAGATGTGACATGCAAAAGATTCCTCTCCTGTAATGAGGATCCATTACAGGCCATGTGAATAAATTTATGAAACCACCTCATAAGGGTAATGGGAGATAAATCACAGAAAATAGAAGAATTCCAATGAATGAACAATCAATTCCTACTACCTCGAAATGAGTTAGTATGAGCCACATATAACAATGACCCTAACAGGACATAAATGATCAGGATCGGAGTGGTCATAAAGGTGAGAAATGGATTGGTGAGAAGGATCTTTCCCCTTCCCTGGCTGCCAGAGTCTTGGGACGAAAAGACTTATCGGGGTAAAGCAGGACAAATGTGTAATGATAAAGAGTCTGATGCACATGGATTGCAAACTCCGACTGACGACATCCACAAGCCAACAACAACAAAAAATACAATTTAAGAGAAAGGTGAAACAAAAAACACAAAGCTAAAGGCTCAAAGGGAAGATGAGACAATGCATGTAAAACAACTGTAAAATCCCATTCCTATAATTGAAAAGGTTGTTTGGGTCAAAGAATACGAAATGATTTAAGTAGACCTGATAGTACTGAGGATTCAAAAACTTCTCAATAATTAGAATACCAAAAAATAGTGGATGAGGATGCCTTATATAAAGGCACCATAGATGAAGCAAGACCCCTCTCAAATACCCAATTCATAAAATGGGATATGGTAGATAATTTAGGATGAAGAGGGTTTAAATTCATTTTAATACACCACTGATGATAAGTATTCCATTTCCGTTGGTTGGCCTATAGAGATATTTAATATACAGAAACCTTAGAAGTTTAACCCATATGTCGGCCAAAGGACCACATAACTCCCAAGCATGAAGATTGAATTTCCGAACATCTGGGTGGATAATGTCTGATCAAGATTGTCTCAACAGAGACTGCCAATGAGAAAGAGGTGGACATTCCTGCAGATACCAAAGAAGCAAAAATCAGGTTTGAGCTAGCCAATATGATGCAACCAAGACAACTCGATAGAGAGTGGAACGAACCATAGTCAGAACCCCAGGCAATAGCCAAATCAGGGGAAAGGCATACAGATGTAAACCTGTCCAGTCCTGACTGAATGCATCTACTGCAAACATTTGAGGATGAGGTATTAGAGACCAAAACAACCGCAGTTGAAAATTCCAATGAGTCAAAAAGGCATCAATCATTGGAGACCCGAACTGAGAGCAAATCCACTGAAGAACCTCATGATATAGCATCCATTCTGTTGGAAGAATCTGGTTGGGTCGAGACAAGTGATCTGCAATTCAATTCATCCCTCCTGGAACATGACAGCCTACAAGACTGATATGATGAAAATGAGCCCAGTAGAGAAGATCCAACTTACAAAAAGAAAGGTCTAGAGAATGTGTGCCTCCTTGACAAGAAATCTGAAAAACCACCATGAAATTGTCAGAACATATCATGACAATTTTTCCCTTCAAGAGGGACAGACCTTAACCTTTGCCAGTGTACTGCAAAGAGTTCGAGAAAGTTGATATGGAGGGTAGACTCATCTTCCATCCAAATACCCTGGTACTGCTGACCTTGAAATAAGCTTCCCATCCCTGAAGAGATGCGCCTGTGAACAAATGGATCTCGGGACGAGATGATGGAATGGGTACCCCAATAGTAGTGTTGTTCCAATCCAACCACCATTTGCAATTGACAAAGTTGCTCCTGAATAATGAGACAGGATGATCCAAAGAATATGAATGCATGATCCATTGGTCACACAGTGACCACTGAAGTGACCTCATATGTGCTTGTCCCAAAGTAATGTGGGGCTCGAGGGATGCCCATATCCCCAAAAGAGAGAGAACCATCTGTGCAGTATGAGTAGGATACATAAGTAAAAGCCTGATGACTCTTTCCATGGTTTGAAGCCTGATAGGGGTTGGTTGAGCACGACTTACGTGAGTATTAAAAATCACACCCAGATGGATTAGATATTGCTTTTGTGGCTTCTGAAAGGAGAATCTGAGAGTGTTGTTCTGTTAATTGACAGGATGGTACCAGAAGGAGCCAGTCATTCATATAATAATGTGTACCCAAGGAATGCAGATGATGAAAAAAAGCTGGAACAACTCTGCAGAAGACATAATGTGCTGATGCAAAACCAAAAGGTAGAGTCCTGAACTGCAGCACCTGACCCTTATGCACAAATCTGAGAAACCTCTGGGAAGATTCTGCTATGAGATATGGAGATAAGCATTGGTAACATGGAACTTGGTCATCCAGAGCCCTGGCACAAAGTGTCATCGCATTGTAAAGCAGGGAGGATCTAAAAATTGGTTAAGTCGAGACAAATCGACGATTGGATGCCAATCTCCTGTCTTTTTGGGTACAATGAATAAAAGGGAGTAAAATCCTAGAATTCCGCTTTTGACTAACAACTCTCTCATGGCCTGGGAACGAAGCTCCACTCACTATAGATCTGTTGGAGGTGAAAAGGCAACCGGGTGAGCAGAATATGGTGGAGGTGAGTTAAATTGAATGACCAACCCTGAAGCCAGAACATAGAGTACCCATGAGTCCCTGGTGAAAGAACTCCAGATGTCCAGTAAGTGATGTAATTGTGCTCCCCTGCCTGCAGGATAGTCATCAATGCCGTTGTAGACAGTCTGCCCAAGCCAAAGATCGTCGATAATACGGATGGACTCTATTATGGGAACCAATAGACCTGGGAACTGAAGGAGAGGGTCGGGAAACACTATGAGCTGATATTCCCAAATTAGTGCCAGAAAGGCGAGAAGCCAACGACGATAAAGAAGAATGTAAACAAGCTGAATTAATTCATGATTCTAACGTCTCTGGAACTCCAGCAAACAACATAGGAGAGAGAAAAATAGCTTCCTGTAACTCCCTGAGGGCAAAAGACAGTAAAAGAACACTTTATAACAAAGCGTCTCAACACAATAAATCCCAACAACAAACCAGAGAAAGAACTGAAGAAGACAATCTGACTGTGTTAGACATCAGCAAAATCCTCAACTTGTTCTCAAATTGCTGAGGGGAACACTGATAGGCTTCTGACAAAAGTTGGATTGAAGATAAATACCTCAGGATGGTCTTGAGAGCAAGACGAATCCGAGAAAGCTGTTATCTGTTTAAAGTGATCACAGGTTCCACTCTAGACCCCCTACAGTTCCAAAAGGGGATCCATACATTGAGAATCTAAATATACCTCCTCCTGGTGGTTGATAAGCCAAAGCATGCTGTTCCAATAAACATGGGGGACAAGGCATAGCTATCCCATCGTGTAACTGAGTGACAAATCTCCCAGCATGAACAACAATACCAGGAGGAGGAAAAAAACAAGTAATCATTTGCCGTCCTTTCTGCCAACAAGGAAGGAGTAGTCAAATGCAATAGAAGAGACCCCCAAAACCTTACAAACCCGAGTAAAAAACTGAAGGGGTTGATCAAGATGATCTTCTGTTGAGGCCAACCTAGTAAAAGGAGCTGGAAAAAGTGTGTCTAAATTCTTCCCAGCTGGTCCCAGGTAATTTGGAAAAGCTGCCTCAGAAGCCCCTGGAGAGACACCCTCGGTCCGCATATGATCCATTGCGAGACGGAGACTGAGAGTGACCCTTCCCCTGGCCATTGACAAACACCAGGTAGCAGAGGTGGAAGAAGTCTTGTTGGCCTCCGTAGTAGAAACATTAACTCGGGAATTCATACCTGTCAGTACCTTTTTTTTTTGTTGTTGTTATTTTATAAATATAAATGAAGAGAGAATCATAGTAATGCCAACCACATTCAAAGTCACAATGTAAACCGTGAATAATCACAACACTCATGTTTATAGAAACTCATGCCAAATGCTTTGTCAAGAAAAAGTGATTGCATTATCTGATTTGCATTACCCTAGATAGAGGGTGCATTGAAGTTGGTGGAGAATTTTGCAAATTGGAATTTGCCAAGGACATTCGTGTAGGATATAAAATACTGGATCAAGCATTTTCAATGCCTAAATGGGCAAAGAGTGGAACTCTGGAGATCGAGAAATAGCTATAGTGTCAGCAGAGGTGTGTGTTGGAATAATCAGTTCTAAGGGTGTAGAATTTTCAAGAAAATCATCAGAATAAAATATATTTTCTTTCTGTGTGTACCAAATCAACAAATACCTTTTTGATATAGGTTTAAATGGCTCAACTTCATTTTTAAACAAATTTATGATTTTTTACAGATATCAAGGATTTGATATGTTTGGATATTTCACAATAAATTGTGAAAATCTTTTCTTGTTTTGCAGTATAAAATTATTCTAGTCCTTAACAGAAAATAAATAAAGACTGATTTTCAGGAAGTTCAGAGAGATAAAATTGGAAACTACATATCACAGAGACTTATATATCTGATACAAAGGTTAACGATATCAAATGTTTAGTTACTATACATGTATAATCATAGGTATATATATTTAGATATATAATACAAGTTTCACAAGAGCTTAAAAGAAATTTGATAACAAAGTGAATATGTAAAAACTTACAGGTAAAGTAACTTTCTGTGTGACTGATGATGGAGTTGTAGAGCTAACTAATCGTACTTGCATTTGAGGCTGGCTTAAGCTATGAACTAGACCAATATGTTGAGAGTGAATGCTGATGCATTGATGTTTTGTTTGACTTTTAGAAATTGGTGGTGGAACAACTAAGGAAAGAGTTGGAGTATAAGCAACAAAATCAAGATCACATTTTGAAACCTGCCCATTGTAATGATGAAGTTCATTACTTGGCTCTTTTGTTTTTTTTATATTGCATATTTATGTGTGTGACACCTCTATTCTAACTTGGATTTTTCATTCATTTAAAATGTTTGATCAGATTATGTTAGTATTGGTTTTATTATTATGATAAATAAGATTCACAATTTTAGCTGCTATATAATGTATGTAGAAAGTAATATCACTTATATCAATATAAAAGGGCAAATCCTGTAAAAATATAATGTAAAAGTGGGTAGGCTAAACAAGAAAAAATTTTTTAGAAACTTGGCCTCATTCTTATATTCATTTTGCTGCTTGTTCCAGTTGCAAAAATGTATAGAAAGCTCCTCTAGTGTTTGGGGCTTTCCATGTTAAGTTTATGGTACATCTGTCCAACACACTGTTAGATGCAGATTATTTATACTAAGTATCTTACTTCGAGTCTGAGAAGGTATACACATTACATGTACTAAACAGTGAAAGAAAGACATGATACAAAACAATATGGTCAATTAATCAATGAATAAATGAAATCAATATAGTGTACAAAAAAGGATAGTTGGTTATACATTATTACAGCTTTATGTAAAATACTACTTTCAAAGAAATATATCCATATGTAAATTGGATATTTCATAAAGAAGTAGCATCTACTTAAACAGTTCAAAATCATAATGCTTTGTGTATATTTTATATTTACACGTACATACAACTTGTTAATCATTAAAATCTGCTTTATTCACTAAAATATGTTATAATTTATTGTAGGCTGATTTATTCATTACTAAAGACTTTTAATACAGTTGATGGTCCACTTCCATGTAGAATTGCATTTCATACCTAACTTAAAGATTGAATTTTAAGATACATTTTAATTAAAACACTATGCTTCCTAACAAGTACTTCTGTAAAAAAAGATACTTTTTTAAATTAAAATCCTCAGTTAGGTTTCAGTCTTCAATGTTGAACAGAGATCATTTCACATTCACAGTTCTTCTTTACTGTTTTTTTAGTGGTGAGCTTAGGATTTTTATCACTTTTGGCACAAAGATGTTTTGTTGCCCTAACTTAAATATGTAATTGGGCTATTGGGTTTCTGTACACTAAGGCTGATTAAATGATGCTGCACTAATAGTTATGTTTTCTGTTTTAACATGATACAACACATATATTTATTATGCTGCGATTTGTGTGCAAAAAAAGAAAACTAACTTTTAACTCAAGCACTTGGAATGCTTAGTGCAACAAATATAAAAAATTACAATTCCCATTTTGAGTGTTTTATGTAAATTAACGTAACAAAAATAAAAAATTACAATTATCCCTTAAAAGTAATTTGTAACTTTTTATAGAAATTAATGCAACAAAAATAAATTACAATTATCCCTTAAAATTCATTTTGAGCTTTTTATAGAAATTAATGCAACAAAAATAAATTACAATTATCCCTTAAAATTC